GAGGCCCAAATGGACCCCCAAAACCACTGGTTGGTAGAGGACAACCCTCTTCCAAAGGGTGCCATTGACTTTTCGGGATCTCATGGGGTGATCACTTTCATTGGTCCATGAAAGCTGTCACTCCCTAGGGATCCACTGCCACCGTACCTCAGAAGGCGTCCTTGGACCCTCCAAGACCGCCTGCATAAATAAGTCTCCAATCACCGTACCGACCTGGTTCGGTGCCAGTGGATCCACAAGGGACTGTCATTTCATCTTTCTCTGGGTGGTGGGTTGAATCCACTGGGTGGAATCTTTCAGAAGTCAAGCCATTTGAAAGGCACCCGGAACCCTTCGCCACCCGGAACCCTTTCGCCACCCAGACGAGGCCACGTTGATGACCTTGGCCTTTCTGCTCCTCCATTTGGGAGAGGCGCCCTCCGTCGTCCGCGCGTCCACGCCTTGTCGATCCGGTGGTCGACGTGAAACACCGCTTAGGTGCAGGTGGGTGGAGGTGGAGCCAGCTGTGTCGAGCTGTGCCAGGCATGCTCCAGGTGAGGTCTGAAGCCCTCCAGATTCAACCAGGATACACTGACATCTCCTGTCAAAAGTCTTATGCCTTTGGAAACTCCACTTGTCAGGTTCACCCAAGATCAATGAAGGCCAACAGTTTGACTACTAAAGGTCCTCGCCCAGCCCAGCCCCCTCCCAACCGGTCCTCCTTTTCGAGCTCGGTCCAGGCGCTGCTGGCGGTCTCCGCCGCCTTGGTGGGCTTCGCCCTGGGCGGCAGCTTCGCGCTGCAAGCGGCCGCTCGGGACGGGGGGGGACGCGCACGGGTTGGGGCAAAGAGACGGTTGGAGGAAAGAGGCGAAAAAGGGTGACTCTCATATGGATTCAAACATCCAGGTGCATGTGTTTTGTTTATTTTCTTCGGTGGTTACTGGAGATCATTCATGGTGATGCCTCTAGGTTACTAATGCATGGTTAATTAGGTTTGCTTGGTGTGAAGTGATTTCTTCTGGAAAATAGATCATCGATGCCATGCTCATGGTTGCTTGGCGTGATGTGTTCCAGCATTCCATGTTGCTCCCCCCATAATTGTCTAAGACTCTGATACTGTCACCTTTTTGTTCCAAGGTCCAAAGGTGATGGACGTACCTAATCACCATCACCCAGCATGTTTCATCATGTTTTCATCTGATTAAACAGACTTCCCCACCGGCTCAGCAGCTCAGCTTGATTCCACCATGTACCCATGTACCTCACACCGCCGAGTCCAAAGGTCTTGGTGGAGGAGGTCTTTGGACCCAAGGTGCGAGCGCCGTGGGTGTGCAGAGTGGCGGATGGGGATGAGGTGGATGAAACAGAAGCATCTCCTACCCCAAGTGGGAAACTGCAATGTCCAAGCATGCTTGGGGATGCGGCTCCTTTTCTTTTTGGTGAAAGCTTCACTGAACACGGAAGAGGTGGAAAGTTTGGTTTATGTTCAAGGAAACTGCTCAGGAGTCAGATTTGCTAAGTTGGCATATATAGAAAACCCGAATCACCTACATAAGGGGTTATTCACAGTCACCTCATGTCACCTCTTAAAGTGGTCGTTTTTGGCTTCAGGTGCGTGACTTTTCTCGAGCTACAGGGAATCGTAAGATTTGTGGAGTTCTTTTTTTGCCGGGCTTCCTGGAGCAATCCAGCATGGTTGAGGGTGGGGCACCGCTGGTGGGTTCGGTGACAGCATCAGGTCTTATACCCCCAAGCATTGACACGGGTCAGCCTTCTCACTGCCTCGGGTCCAAATGAGGTCCAAAGACCTCTTTTCTGGTTTCTCCGTCTCCCGGACGAGCCGAGTGACCCGGTGGTGAGGAGATGCCGATCAAGTATAGCTACATCTTTTGCGCTCCTTTCATCGGCTCGATGGTGATGAGTGACCTGCTGGCTGGCTTCCTTTATGATATGGAGGCCCAAAAGCAAGGCGAGGTGAAAACAAAGAAACGCCCAGTCGTCGATGTAGAGGTGGCCTAATAAGGCCTGTGGGGTGCAAGTTGATCTTGTTCAAAACCCCTTGAACATCCATGTGACATACCTCTCGGAAGTACATCCCGATATTCTCAGCCAGTCACCATTATTTTAGTTCATACACAGCTGCATTCTTGGTGGTGACATGAGGACTGTGAGTATACTTCTACAATCGTCTACAGGAGTTCTAGCCCAGTCGATCAGCGCAAAACCCTGCAAAGTGGCTATTGCAGCTAGAAGCTCAAGGTTTTTGGACCATCCCACCAGTGGCACGCTGCACCTCAACTCTCGCAACTTCTTTCTCTACAAGGTTCAAAGACCCAGTAGAACCGGATCCTCAGTAGAACCATGTGTTTTGGTATGACCCTGATCTTCAGTGCTCCAGTAAAACGAGGCTTTTAGTATCCGAGCCAGGCCGAGCCATTTGCCTGGGTGCGCGCTGCTTTGGCGTGCCATGGACATATGGCCGTGAGGGGTCCGGTGTGCAGGCGTCGTTTCTCCAGCCCTGACCGGAGAAACGCATCACAGGTTTCGATGTCACAGCAGCAGTTGGTTTTGGTTCACCCCGAAATGGACGAAGCTACGGTCTTGCCGTTTGGTGCTCCTGGCCCACCTCCGTTTCGCTTCGGTGGGTGCCGGGTCGAAGACCGGTCACCTGAGGAAGATGGGATAGGAGCTCTAGCGATGTTCAACTGGGTCTCGCTTTCCATGTTTTGGTCCGTTTGCCTAAAGAGGTGGCCTGAAAGGTGTGCTCAGGTGTACCTAAGTTTCGATTGCCGCAGCAGTGATCCTTCACCATGGTGTTCTGATGAAATGCCTGAGGACGGAACGATTTTTAGCGATCCCGGGTTGATCATCCAAATGAAGCTTTGCGCTGCTGGACCACCACATATAAGTGCTGGTTTCCTAGATGGTTAAGTTCACCCCCTCCACTTGGGATGATTGAACCATATTGAACCCACTGGTCCTCATATGTGCTTGTTCGTGAGTTGAAACCACCAATCAGTTCAATTACATCATACTACATCATATCCATTCCTCCCAAGACTGCACCTCCACCTTCTCCCACCCACGTGTGATTGAAGCATCAACAAGAAACAACAACATCGCCAATCAACAAACACATCACCCACCCGCTCGCCACCCCACCAACACCACCAAAACGCCTCAGCGCCTCGGTCCCAGGTCACCTTCACGGTCACCGCCACCTGCAACTTCTTGGCGGCGCTCGCCATTCTCACGGTGGCCCTCAGGGCCTCCCACACGCGGATCGGCGGATGAGAGTCTGGTTCGGGGACGAGTCCGGAGTCGCCCAAAGGGGGGGCGGATTGGGAAGTGTGTGGGAAGCTTATATTTTGGTGCAGGTGTCTTTTTCTGCGGGTTTTTTCTTTTCCGCCAAGCAGATCAAGGGTGGGAATGGTGTGCAAAGGATCCTAGCTGCAGCTTCAGGAGAAGATGAGTATATGGGAAGTTGCAGCATATTACTCATGAGTATTAAAGTATGGCCGGCCGGCAAATGGGAAAATTGGACGAATAGAGCGGAGCAGTGCAGGTGTATATCAGGTGTGGATAAATCTTCGATCGCTGATTGGGGTCAGTGACCTGTTCAGCACTGGGTCTGGTGGATGTGAATCAGATGAAACATTGGAGATTTTAGGAGATTCCACAGCTCGATGACTTGGACATGTTGTTTGAGTCATCCAAAGACCCTTCAAAGCAGCTAAGAGTCCCACTATCAATAGGATCTTTGATCGCCTGCCTGGTGTCCACGTTCTTTGCGTGGTCAACCAGATGTCATGCGCCGAGTGAGTCACGCCGAACGCCATCGAGTCGAGACACCGAGGTACGCCATCCTGAACCCAGTGCTGCAAGAGCGTGGCGTGGTGTCCACGGAGGCTGCCAGGCTTTGAGAAGCAAAAGGAGGGCGTGAACTCGGTCGGCGTCGACCGAATGATGGATTTCAATCGACGTTACTCTTATCTACTCCCTGGAAGACGATTCCATGGACCCTGAAAACCACTGGTTGGTAGAGGAAAAGACTCTTCCAGGGGGCCAAACAGTCAGGGTCTATGTGAGTTTTTGGAGTGTACTAGCAGTGTAAGTATCACTCCCAATCTGTGAAATTGAATCCCCCCAAACTGGAAGCCTTCATCGCGCACCACCATGTGAACACACCAAATGTCTTGGTCATTGCATGTCATTGCTTAAGGTTGATTTTGGGCCAGAGCTTGACCCAACCTTTTTTCATGGGATGATCAATTCCGTTTTCTCAGAGTTGTTGCATTGTTATGCATCCTTGATTGATTCTCAAGCAGTATATATTTCTCCCATCAAAGTCACTGGTCTTCGCAACTTGCTGTTGTTTTCCCAAAAAGACAAGGTCCTGATGGAACTGTGGGAGGCTTTATTGGATTCAGACAACGGGAGTTCCAACATGGTCCAACGGGTGCCGATTCCTTGTCAACACCTTTGTCCGGAGCATATCAGCTCCATTGATGTGCGACTCGACAGTGTCAACCATGTGGACTGCCAACAGGCTTAAAACATCTTAAAACCGCACTTGATATATAAGCTGAAGCTGTTACGTTGCAATAATGATTTGGTTGGCCTTTTTGTTCCGTTTTCGTTGGCCATCGATCGTTTTTGTTGCCTTTGGGGCTGTGCACGGTCGACGGTGTTTGCTATCTGGAGACTTTTGTTCGATGATTGGCCCCGCCCTTGGCGGCCCTGAACTGGTTGACCCTTGCCATACAAAGGTTCAAGACCTATCGCAAATAGATGCGAGGATGGCAAGCTTAAGAGCTCAGCAGCTGAAACATGGGCAGCGAAACATGGGCGAAACGAACAAGTTGAGTCATGATGATTCATGCAGGGCAGCTAGGCGGCTTGTGTGCCTCTTAAGTAAGCCATGCAGAGGAACAGTACCTAAACAGTCCGTCACCATGATTGGACCGTCATAGCCCTATAGAAAAGAAAACAGCACCAAAAACAACACAAGAACTGCTTTGTGCTGTTTTACTCCCCTGCTGTGTGCACTTCTTTGCCGGGGACTGGGCCAAAAGGAGGCCCAAAAGCCGTCTCCGATCGTCGAAATGGGCGCCAGCTGAGCGGTTCTTGGGAACGTTCCATCCATGGTGAAGCGCGCTTTGACCAAGGGCGCTGGGAAGCGCTTTTGAGAGTGAATCAGCGCTGACCCTTTCATCCACTTTGGAATGGGGATTCACTTTCCATCCCGAATCCCCTGAAACTGGGGGAAGAAGTCCTTTGACAGTTTTTTTCGATCATAGCCATAGCTTTTGAGATAGGAATGGGCCCGGGGGGGTGAGGGCAAACCCATTCAACTCTTGAAGGCAAACCCCAGAATAGGCTTAGCAGCTAGCTCCTGGACGAATATCGATGAATAGAGGTTGAATCAGTGGTTGAATCCATGTTGAATCCATTGAGACCGGATGGCGCGATCGCGTCGTATCGTACGATCTAACGATCGAAGGGATCCGTGTATCGGTGAAGCTGGAGATGAGCAGCTCATGTTCTCTTACTGGCTCTTCAACTGCCAAAATTTGATCGGTCATGGTGCTAAAATGAGTTAATTAGGATGGATGGAGCCCTTGGAATAGGGGGTGGATGAGTGCACGTCGAGCAGCTTATTGTCACTTCCGTCTAATCCGATCTACTTTTCTTTGTGAGAAGGTGAGCAGGGAGATACTTTTAGGCGCCAGGAGTCCAGGAGGGTCCAGTCGTACCGAGAAGAGAAGGTGGCAGCGGATCACTACATACTCCTGTCTAGAGAGTCTCTTGAGGAAAACAAGAAGGCCATGCCTCAAAGCAAGCTTCAAACCATCCACAAGATCGCTGTAAGTGCACCCTCCAACAGTCCTCCTCCAAAAGGTTGCCATTGGAGACTTAAAAGTGGCAGATGGGTGACCTGTATAGAGCCAGGTGCAGGTAGCAGGTAGGAGTAGGGCTACCTGGGAGCGTCCAGGCTCATGTGGAGCGGATTCTTCGCTACGTGCGCCTTTGGACAGTGACCCACGACAGGCGGGAGTTGCAGAGAAAAGCTGGAGGAAGCAGGTGAAGCAGTACAGGGAAGATTCGGGAGAGAGAGCTTCTGGAACACCGCACTGTGTTTGGGGGACTTTGCTGCGAGTTCCACTATAAAAATATCTTCAACCACATCAATTCCTTTCGGATCGATCCGCCCTGCTGGATCCAGTCCTGTCTCCCGCGCCATGACACCACCGAGTCTGGGCCGAGCGCCTGGCGCTTGCGACTCCGGTCGTCTCGCCACGACGGTCTGTGGGTGTCGACGGTCTCGGCCTTTGGGGTGCTGAGACGAAAGACCAGTCTCAGAGCAGTCTCAGAGCTTGGAGAAGCGAGGTGGATTCGACTCTCCCGCACGTGGGCTCACCTCTCAGTACCGGAAGCTGCACAGGTTCGGAACGACATGGAAGGGCATCAGTTTTCAGCGCCCAATGCTGGCGCTGGGGAGAAGCGAGAGGACGGGTCGGCTGGGCGTGGATGGTTGAGTGAAGGTTTATGGGGGTGGACACTGGTCGGATGGATGTGGACACCAGATGACACCAGAATGCATGATGTATGTCATCCATGATTGTCCCTGATTGAACTGGATACGTGATGATACTAGATGAACCTGAATGGGGGATGAAGGCATGCACCAGACAAGCACACTATTCAGCTATTCCAAGAACTGGACGTTCAATGACTTCGAGGCTATTCCAGGGCCAAGTCTTTGGGCCTGTCAGACACATCCTCAGAAGGTATACCGATATCCGACAGACCCCCCCCGCTGGCAGGCACCGTGGCATACAAACTAAAACCGAAACCATCCGAAACCGAACATGTAGGCCAGGCCTTCCTGCCTCATGTCCGATCTCAGTGAGCTCTCAACTGACCGCGCTCGACCGCACTCTGACCGCTGTGTGCTGCTCGTCATCGCCAGGAGTTTCGACATGGGAATCGCATGCGGAGCGTGACCGTCAATCTCGTGGCACGGACTCCCAGTCGTACTCCCGGAGTCGCCCGACCCGTCGATGTCGAGGTCGGCTCTGCCGGAATCAAAGGCTGTTAGACGGCCCTGAAGCCGCTCTAATGAGTGGTATTCTTCCTGGCTGTGAATTTCAATCATCTATTAATTCCAAATTGATTCCATAATTATATAATATATATATATCACATTCATTTATGCATTTCAGTCATTTGAGCGAACAACAGTATGGCTCTTGGCTCTTGACTCCGCTTCTTTCTTCGCCGTTGCTCCCAGGCCACGTACCAGGTGTGCTGCAATGACTTCGGCTACAGCGAAACGCACGCCCCACGACGCGTGCTCACAAAGCTCTCCAAAGGCAGGAAACGGCCCAGTGAGACGGATGGAGACTGGGGATGGTGCTGGGGATGGAGTGCAACAGACACATGTATGTTTAGATTGACACATGTATGTTTAGATTCCAACAGACACTCATGGTATACTGTGCTCGTTACGACTTGGGATCTTTACTGCCCTAAGGCTCCACCATCCGTTGCTCGGATGGTCGGTCTCGGAGGTGAGGTGAGGCCTCGTGCTTCCGAATTGAATGGTCGAACTGGACCCTCAGGATGGTCCTGGACCCTTAGGATGGTCCTGGACCCTCAGGGCTGGTCCTTGAGATGAAATGAGTGGAGTCGGAAGCGACGCTTTGTCCCAAGCTCTGACACTTCAAAGGTGTATCAGGTGGTTTGGGGGCAGACCTGGCATTGTGACTAGTGACTAGTCGATCCGTACATAGAGTGGCCTTCTGTTGCAAACAGCTGGATTCATTCATCCGGATCAAGCTGACTTCACCTGGTTTTGATGGGTGCAGATTAAGATTGCGTTTCAGTAGGGTCATCCGCACACATACAATATCATACAATCATTAGATTCATTAGGATGTGCAAGCTGAAGGGAGTTGACGGGTTCGTGGTTACGCAGGTCTGGCAGGTCTGTTTTTGTGCAGCTACTTAACCTTCATCATTAATGCAAGTGCACTCATCATTCTCCTCCTCCTCCTCATCGACCACTGACACTTGGACATTCTCCAAAACTTCCAGGTGTGTACAATTCCAACTACGACAACGCGGAGCATGACTACATTTGCCGAGCAGCTTGGACCATGGCAGACTGGTCCAGGAAGACGATATGAACAAATGCGACGAGGACAACGGCGAACCCGAGTTCCGGAACGTCCTTTTCTTCAGTGGGGCAACATGTGTGCGTGTGTGTCGACTTGGACTTCTAGGGGATGTTTTGTTGGTGACTGGTGAGAACATCTGGGTTTGTTCATGTTACCTTAACCTTGGATGGCCGGTGTTGTTTTCGTTAACGGACGACAACTGACGCTCATGGCTCCTGGGTTGACCACGAGACGAATGAACAGAGGTTAGACGATGGCTTGACATGGTCAAACTACTATAGAGGGTGAGTTCGGGGCTCCAGGTGTCAAGACCCGCAGATACCCACAGTCATTATACTGGATTTGAATGAGATGGGAAATTTAGGAACAAATAGATAGGTATACTTGTTGTAGGAGACGGATAATAAATAGGATCAGATTTAATGGACCGATTTGTCCTTACCTTCCCTCCTTCTAACAAATTCCTACCTCATCTTCGTTTGAAGTAAAGTGTTTCATGGGATTTGTCGGACAAGGGAACACCAAACCAATTGGCCGGATGGATACAGATGAGAAAGACTCACAACCATGCCTAAACGATCCAAAAGCCAAAACATGACCAATCCGATGCAACGGACATGGTAGGATTGCACCCTTGCACGCACGCACCGTGAGAGTCATCAGACGAGTTCTTGGTCCAAGAAAAAAGCGCGAAAGCCAATGATACAGCGAGCAAACAACCTTGGATCCCCCTACAGGGTCTCGATTGATGGCTCCTGTCAAGTTGTCCAGGTTCAAGGATGGCTCCAAGCCATCCAAAGTTAAGTCTTTTCCCATATCAAAACAGAGGTCTTCTCTGGGCAGTTTGGGCAAGGTAGTGCTGCTTTAGCATGTTTTTTTGACTAATTCATGATAATGATGTATATACACAGTCCACAGTCTGGCCCGGCATCAAGCCGGCCGTGTTCCACCTGCCGCCACCTGCGGCCCCAGGTGGGTGACAAGATCGTGAATCCCGACGGCCATACCTATGAGATCTTGGAGCGTTTGGGCCATGGCACCTTCGGCCAGGCGGGCGCATGGAACCCGGGACATGCGCGTATCGATGGCGGGCGATGAGGGAGCGGAGTTCTACACGCGGGAGTTGGGCAAAATACGGGTGGTGTGTCGGTGTGTGTGGGTGTGTGTTTTCCAACAGAGATTGAAGAACCCTAGTTCGACTAGTTATCTTTACTGATACCCCAGGTTATGGATCCTCTAGGCCCTAGGTCCTAGTTCAGGTCACTTCAACCTCTCTTGTTTTTTTGTTTGTTGTGTGTCTCTCCTTGGTCAGTGTGGACTTGATTCCACCCGTCATGTTCAACGGAAAGAATGGATTCCGTTGGAAGGATGGTCGGAGATGGGGATCGATCCGTAGATCGATCCAGATCTCGTTGTGACACCAGTTTTCAGAGAGAAACTGAGGGAGATCTGCGGGGAGGTGAAGGGGTGGACTGTTGGTGGCCTAGAAAACGGGACATAACCTTTCTAAATCAGTGATGTACTGCAAATCAGAGATTGAAGCAGGGACTCCATGATGGTACGTGTACCCAATTGAATGAAGTACTTTGAGACTCAGCAATTCGGTCGCAAATAGTTGAAACCTCCACCATCCCGGTCATCTGGTCATCCCCCCCCCCGCTGGGCCCACGTCTGAGCCTTCTTGAGGGTCGCTCGTAATGGTTAGAGATGTTGGTTAACTAGCTTGTTGACGTCTTCGATGTGTTTTCACAGCCCCTTTTTCACAGCATGACACACGACGTTTTCGGGTTCACATGGCTGGAGAAACCACCCAGGTATGTCGGATCTCGAGGACTAATCTCAACCCATCTACCGAGCTGCTCAGTGGCAGACGGAGCTCAGTGGCAGACCCACCGGCGAACGCCGACCAACGCCATCCGAACGTCTGGTCCGACCCACGAAGTGATCCATGGGACTGATATATTTAAGAGTATGCAGGTCTTGCTCCATGTTTGGAATCTATCATGACTCTTATTATGACTCTGCAACTGATCCACGGGACAGAAGATATATGTTGGCGATGTGTTTTTCTCACTGAAATCAATCCAACGGATTGCTCCTTTGCCGGAGTCTGAGAGGTCCTGAAATGCCATCATTCGGGCTCCAGCTCGCACGTGGTACCTTGGCCGTGTTCGTGGCAGAGCGGGGCGGTCTTCGGGCGGAGCTTCGGGGGTCTTCTGCCGCTCTTTGGGTGGTGGGTTTTTGGGTTGGTGGCACGTGGCAGGTGGTTTTGGTTGCTGGAATGCTGCCAGGGTTTCGAGGCCAGTTTGTTTTGATTTGTTTTGCTTTTGTTTTGTTAAATGGTGTGGGCAACAGATCAGACTACTACGGTCGGATGCCAGCTATGTGGTCGGGTGCCACCACCCGGACCCTTTTCGTGATGACCAACCAGCCAGACCACTGACGCAACTTCTATAGGAGCAGTTGGTGCCATCTACTCTGAAACCACTGTTACTTGTTCTCATTCAGATCAGGTCAGATCATTTTGCCGCCCACCAAGGTGGGTATCCAAAGGTTTGTTGAGGGAAGAGTGGTTCTGTTTGCACATCCTATGACACAAAGAACTCAGACACACCCCAACCCGAAAGAAAGAAGACCTCACCAAAGGTGCCAGGGTGGGGGAGGGGCAACTGTTTGTTTATAGTGAAGTGTAGTGTATTACAGGCATGTCGAGATGCTTTTCATGTGTTTGTATGGATTTGACTTGTTATGAAGAGAAGACCATCTTATATTAACTTGCAGCAAAGGAGCTGTTTTCTTTTTCTGCTCTGGCAGCAGACTCGGCATACGAAGGTCAGGTTGAGGTGTGTAGGGTTGGAAGTAGCATGGCCGCTTCCAAGGCTTTGAAAATCATCAAGAATAAACCGGCCTACTTTCATCAGGCCAGGGAGCGCACCAAACGCACGCACGCGCGTGTTGTCGAGGAGATTCGGGATTTGATGGAGGCTTCCTGTTTGGTTTTCATCGTTTGAAGAATACACTGGCCAGGGAGGATTGGAAGGGACTTGCACATCTACCAAGTTTGTTTGCACGTGCATTGTTGGTCAGGTGCGCCCGGAGGAATAAATGTAATTAGGCCATTGATACTGGGGTCTTCTGTCGAGGATTCCAGTAGCGGCAAGCGCTTGGTCAAGCAGAGATCCAAAATGCTGCCAACTTCCATAAGCACTCCACCAAAAAATCAAACAAAAACCACCGAGCTATACCTTTCGGCTTTTCAGCATGCTCAAAGCTAAACAGAGAGGGTATGCTTTATAGGGAGGAGGCTCCATGTTGGCAACCTTTTTTTCTAGTTGGCACAAGTTCACCGCAAGATTCTACATAATTTCTTGATACCTCTTAGGTTGGTACCACAAATGTTTCTTGAGAGATCTGCAAGAAAGCACTACGTACACCGCACGCACTACAGCACGCCCAGTATGTGCTCGATGTTGGGTGCAGCAGAGACGTAAGACCTAACAGACCCAACAAGAAAGCATCAAAAAAGATTACCTGCAGACTGTGGAAAATGGGACATGCCCCTATTAAAAGTTGCTACAAGACTACCCATTGTTAGTTGTACGAGTACGATTTGAGGGTTCAGGTAGTTTTAATGTCGGTGTGCCAAGTTCTTGGAGGGGTGCCGGTGTCCGTGTCCAGCACATTCACTAGCTTGGAGACTGGCTAGAACAACGCATTGGAAGGAAAAGCCATGAACAAAAACACATGCCTCAGTACCAACCCAGGACTCCCCAAAAAATCAGGGAAACAACAACACGCCTTGTGCAGCAACGATGGCGTCCAAATGGATCAATGTTTCTCGCCTTTGGCATCCTTTTTTGAGGGTCCCCACATGAGTCCGGCCCATCTGGGGCTCGGGATCGCCGCGATCGCCACAGCGCCACCGAGCGAGTCGCGGAGGCCTTGGTGGAAGTGCGTATCTTGCAGATGCTCAATCAGGAGGGATGCATTTCTTTCTCAAGAAACACGGACTGTCCCTTTCACATTCACTTCGACGGTTGTTTGGCTGACTGGCTGGCTGGCTGTCTCTTCACATGTAAGCACGGACCGTTTTACATTCAATTGGACGGCTGGCGGTTCACTCCAGCTGGCTGGCTGGCTGGCTTTGTTTACTGGCTGTCGTTTGGCTTTGTTCCACTAGAATTTGTGCTCCGCTTTTGGGGGGTGGTCAATGGTGGTAGGTATCAATAGCGAGAGTAGAAGATCTCAGACCAAATAGGTGAAACATAAGTGGTTCCCACTGAAGTACTGCATTCCAAAGTCCCTGTGGAACGCTTTTTTGACCGGATGGTGGGATGGTCGAGATGTTCCGATGAAAGATGTGTTGTAGGTAGATTGACGTAGGTAAGTTTGAGGTGAGCTTGGAGTCTGCAAAGGTATACCCAAAAGGACATGAGTGACCAGATCCTTATGCAAACGACTGACTCCTACCCTTACTACTGACCCTTAGGTACAGGTATAGGCCTTAAACTGAGGATCCACACAACTAGTTCAGGTTCCTGTTTGAGGCATGTTCGGGGTGGGTGACTTCTGTGGGGTCCTCAATGCCCTTGGAGCTTGTAACAAGTTGGGACCGAAAGTGTTTGGATTTGGAGTGTCCAACAAGCATCTGAGGATATTCAACAAAAGCAACTGACAGAGAAGACAACCGTCTATGTGGTTTCTGTCTAAGACAATGACGAACACCTCAGACGATGTCCTTTTCGATCAAAGACGAAGATCAGAATCGTCTCCTTCCCAGCAATCACTGCAATAATCTGCCGGTTGCTGATCGGGTGATGTTCCCCAAGTTAAGGGCGTCCATGGGCGTGGAGAAATTGCTGGCCCTACAAATGACATTCCCAAGCTTCCGAGCCAGCAAATGACATTCCCAAGCGACCCATGGAAGTAAAGGATGATTTTCAATGGTTTGGTTTAAGGGAAAAACATAGAACATCTGCAGGAGACCCACTTTTTTACACCCCCAAAGCTGTGGCATGTTCCCTTAAAACAACTTCTGGGAGATCTCCATTCACCATCATTCACCACCCAAAAAGACACCCCTCTAGGGCCTTATAGGGCCATGTTTGCTAAAGGAATCACCACGGATCGTTTGGGCCAGATCAGATCCGTCCTTCAGGAGTTGGACCCTGACGATGACAAGCGGTGTCTTGGGCACAGACAGCCGTGGTACAGCCGTGGGGTTGCGAAAAAAAACAGAAAACGTCGCGTTGACAGCCGTGGTTTCGGGTGGAGATCGCGTTTCCAGTGCTTTTGTTGAGTTTCTGCCACTACGTCAGCTAGTGTTCCAAGTGGCGAAGGTACTATACCATCCATACCTTCTGACCCCAAGCATGCCTGGCTGTTTCTCGGCACAAGATGGCAAGTCCCAGAAAAGTCATGTATCAGACTCATCAAGCAGATGTTCCGTACCAGGGCCCCCTAATGCGCCCAAGGGGTTGTCGAAGCTGAGCTCCTTCTTAGAGGTTTCTGGGGGGTAACAATTTAACCAACCCAAACCATCCAGGGCCCTGGTAGGATTAGACTGAGCATCCCCAGTCTGCAGTCCTTTCTTAGGGGCTCCGGAGCCATTCGAAAACGGAGACCTCGAGCCGCTGGCGTGACTGGGTCGACCAGTCTCGACTGGCTGGGTCGAACCCTTCGAAGGTCGATCTACTGGGAGGTTTGTATTGTCTCCCTAGTAACTAAGGGCATTACTACTAGTAACAATATAATGCTACTAATCAACCAACCAACCTTCAGTACAAATCCAAGTTCCTTCTCAGATGGTATATACTTGGAAGCCTCCAAACCTGCATGTATAACCGCGTCTCCAATCACCTACCTCAAGATGTGAGCAAGCCATTTTCCAGATGGGCACTTGGTTTGTTCGCAATTTCTCATCTTGTTCCTTGAAAAAGCAAGAAAAGGCAATCTTCACAATCCCTCGGATGCTCCAAGTTCAGGTCGTGGGCTCCGATCCCTTCAGTCGATCTGCACATACATCAAGCAGCGCAAGTCCTGCACGTGCTGCACAAGTCCTGCACGTACCGTATGTCAAGCACTGAGGATCGTGCGGATGCTGGACTTCTTCGTTTACAGGAGTCCTCCACGGCGCTCCGCGGATAGCGCACGGGAGGTGGTGGTTCGTCGTCGGGAAGGCCAACCACATGTGCGGCTACATACTCAGCTGCAAGCTGCACGGTGCCATATTTGGGAGGATGTATGTTTTAAGTCCAGTGGTGACCCGGCAACCCTTGCGCCGCGTGGTGACCTTGGACTTCGCATTCGAGGTGCTTAGCGTTGAAGGCGTTGGATAGCAACAAAGACACAATCACCATCCATAGAAAATAGACCAGCAAGAGTTTTTAGGAAAGACATGGAAAGACTCAATGTGTTGAACAAATGGTCTGGTTGCTGCATTGAATCATCCTCCAAATCCACAGCTCAACGTGAAACATTCTCTCCTCGTCCTCAATAATTTTCACACTGCTTCACCTGCAGATTGGCAGAAGAGTTCCATGCGGAGCTCCATGCGCATCGGACTTTGCCCTTTACACCGACCCATCACGATCGAAAGGCGGCCGGGGCCCGGGCCGTGTTTCGTTGCACCCGCCGTCGGGCCGTCGCCCAGACGCCGCGTCCCGTCCGCGGAGGAAACACTTGTGCATCGCGTTCGAACTCTTGAGCGCCTTGGGACCGACCGGGCACCGTCAGAGACGACGAGAAGAGTACGGTGAAGCTGAGACGTGAGGGTTTCAAGAAAACGAGCGCCAGACCAACACGTCGCCCAGCTTCAGTTCGTGACCTTTTGGCCTTCAGACTACAAGTAGAGCCTAACTCTTTGGAAGAAACATGGGCTCCTGGCTGAAAGACGAGTTCGTGAACAGGTCATGGGCCACCAGGCATGTCAGACATCCCCGTGTTCTACTATGGTGTAGGCATGTGTAATTAATTAGGCAACAGAGGAAGTCCATGCGAAAGTGATGGAGGCTTTCAAAAACCACAGGGATGTTGAATCCAGGATCTCCAGAAATGGCCTAATAAGTGGTGGCAGGTGTTGTGGTGCAGGTGTTTTGGTCCATCAACGGGACGAACGGGATGGCATTTGCAGATTCTGTGAACATCTTGGAACTTACTGGCTCTAGAATGGGAGAACGGGAGACGTGCCCCTCGGGCTGTGTGGCCTCTCATCTTCAGACCGGACCAGAGTGAGAAACGAGCAGGGAGGTCAAAGAGCATTCATCGAAAACACTTCACCACCTGTCAGTAGACGACATTGGAGGACAGGGCTCTTCCGGCCGTTTTTCCACGTCAATGTTACTGAGTTAAAGGTGGCACTCCATTAGAGGCCCTTGAACTCTTCAACAGGCTTTGGGAGCTCTTGGACTCCTCCATATGAAACCAATCCGAAGATGTTTTTCTACAAAGACACAGCCAGTTCTGTGTGACCGTACGCGACCGGATGTGACGAGGAAGGAAGAGCGAAAGCCATTGGACACCCATTCAGTCGAAACCGTGGAAGTCCCTGAGTACCGCGCCACGGGGCTGAAAAAACAGGTCTCTGACGCCCAGGTGTCAACCTGTATGAAGTCCTCAAGCAGAACTCCTTCCGGGGTGTGTGCGGAGCGGAGTTTTGGACCGTGGGGAAGGTTGGTGTGATGTCCACCGCTAAGGAGCTTTTGGCGCTTACGTCCGAAGTTTGCAGAACCTGATTTCGCGTACTTTGCAACTCAAACTGTTGCAGCAAGTGACCACTCGGTTAAGTTCATTTCAGATGGTCTACAGGGCTCTGGGGAGAACCCCGAGGGATTCTTTGGATCTGGGAATTTGGTCTCAATGATTCCCTTGATGGACGAGGTTTTGGTTGTTCGGGGGGAGTGGAACATATATTGTAGAGGGACCAAATTGTGAGCTTGAAACGAATCAAGTGTTGATAACAAATTTACTGAGGGGTTTTTCAGAACGACGTGGTTTTGGGAGTCTGTGTGATTTTGTGGGAGGAGACGGAGAAGGGATTCAATGTGGCACTGGGACCAGAGGATGAGTGATGGACGAGGTTTAAACATTTAAGGATCTTAAAGGAGGCGAACAAGGCAAACAAATTAGAAGACGGATGGACCAATCAATAAGGGCCGTTTGCAGAAAACAACATAGACCGATCGACAATGGATCAGACGTTATTTATACGTTATTGTTAAGGATAGTATTGCAGCAAGCTTTGACCGAGTCCATAGGTGGGGGACCATGAATCCTGCTGGTGGGTTGACACTCATTGATTTGTTTTCTTTCTAGGTAGGCCATGACTTGGAGCCTTGAACAGGTAGCAGATACAGAGTTTTACCAAACGTCCAAAAGGAATCCACTGAGTTTCTATGAGTTCCCACCCAAAACACGAAGGCACAACCCCAACAAAAGTGGCCAAGAAGTGAGACGTGTCCCCCAAACCCCAAAAGCAACTAAACACCCATCTATAACAAGGGCCATATGCCAGGACCTTCAAAGTGACCGTCCTTGAGATTCCACTTTGAGGTCACTTTGTCCATAAAGAGATCACTTACAGACCTCCAAAAGAGGTCGCGAATGGCTCAGGTCGTGGTTTTCTCCATGTTTCTCCGGCACGTCTTGCAGCCGTTTTGCCTCCGGTCCCTGGCCCCGAAAGACAGACCCAGTTCAGGTCGATGGCCTTGATCCGCGTGTTGACCGACCAGCTCCTCAAGGCCGTGGAAAGCTCCGCCAACCGGCACAGACGTCCGAAGCTAGATGTATGAGGGCAGGGTCTGTCCCAGAGAACCTGTAACAGTTGGTTGTACGATGTTATACGGTTATACAATAAATTACAATGTTATTAATTTGGAGAAAGGTTTGCAACCTAACCATCATCCTCATTAGTAATGGGATATACCCAGTGTGTGATGATTTCTACCAGCACCACCCACTTCAGGTGGTTTATAGACCCCCCTCGCAAAGTGTGTACCATCCAAGAACCACCCGAACTGGTTGCTGCTGGTAGAGAGAAGACGCCACAATTCATTTGATGCATAACACGACCTGCTCTTCATCTTTCCTAGGGATCCAAGTCCCTTCTCAGCAGGTGGTGTGTTCGACACCGCTATGTAGGTGCCAGGAGGGTCCAGTCGTACCGAAGCTGAGGTTCGGTACGACTGGATCCATAGGGTTTGGGAATATTTAACAAACCCTCCAAACCTGTTGTTGTCGTACCTTCAACAACAATAGAGGGTACTTGGATCAACAACAGGTCCTTGGATCCTTCTGAGAAGGTACTTGATTTCGGAATGTCCTGTTCTTGATCTTCAGCACCTGAAACGAAGACCGAAGCTCCAAACTGTTTGGTTCGTGGCGGCTCAAGAGCCTGATGTTGGCAAGTATGCACGGGCAAAGCAACCGCAGTTCCCTATAGGGATCCACATACCTTCTCAGAATGTACTTGGACCACCCAAGTATATATAGATAAAAATAGTATGTGGATCCATAGGGGTTCACTGTTTATTTCATGTAATCAATGGTCTCCAAGACCCAAACGTCTAGCTTCATCTGAATGAGAAGTCAGTCTGTCCCTGTGTTCTTTCAGTTAAACCAAACGTCTCAATACATCCAGTCCCTATGCGCTTAAAACAACTATAGGCATATCAAGAAAACAGCAAGACATCTGGAGTTCGTTTGTTTTATTGGAGTTCAAGACATCTGGAGTTCAAGAGTCCAAGCCAGTGGGGAGTTCAAGACATCTTAAACTCAAGACTCCAATCCTCTTGGAAGTTCCCCCCCCCACTCCCAACCTTCATCCACCACCCACCCACCACTCCTGTCCTGCGCCAGGCGATGCGGTGCCTCCGCGAGGCCGCAGAGCCCCAAACCAGGGTAGGTTGATCTCCCAGGTAGTCTGTTCTGTTCATTCTTGGTGGTCAACCAGGGTGTCCCGGTTTTGATCTACAGCCATATGGAGTGTTTCTTTGGTTGGAAGGGTCGAAGTGGGAGTAGATATATATGTAGACAGATGTAGATATACTTGGTTAATCAAAGTAGGATTGGGAAGACTTCCGTCGTATTGGGTGGTTTATCAATCAAAGAGTCTACACTCGAGGGGTGCCGATGGGTGGCTCCCAGGGGTGTAGACCTATGAACCGAATGAAACATCCATCACAGACCGACCGGATCATTTAATCAGACCATCCATCCAGTCACATCTGGCACATCCGGCACTATGTGGACCTCCAGACAGGACACCTCCTGGTGAATCACTTGGATGGATGCAAATTTGGCACATGTTGGCACTGTTTGCTTATGAATCAAGCCTGCCCAACAGATGCAGACAGTAATTTCGCAGGGTTGAGGTAAGTTAGCATATATAACTTCCCTAGGGATCCAAGTACCTTTCAGCAAGTGATGTGTTCGACACCGCTATGTAGGTGCCAGGAGGGTCCAGTCGTACCGAACCTGAGAAGGTACTTAGATCTATAAGGCTTGTTCGTTTGCATAGGGCTATATATGCTGTTTACCAACCAACACCAACGTGTCGATCTACGGCTTCGCCGCTTGGCCGTCACCTGGAACGTTCAGGTTGCTACGCGATGCTGATCGGATGTCAATTGGGAGTGATAGGCCTTTCCCATGTGCTTCTAGTTTGTTCTTGGGTTGACCACATAGAAGGCAAGGCCTTTCCACTGAACCAACCACTTGCTACCGTGGTCATTTCTGTTTTTCGAGCAGACTGCCCCATGTCTTACAAACCATTGACCTCGGCACCGTTGCTCCCGCTGGGGGGTGGGTAGTACCGCTCTTGGGGGATGGGTAGGCTCCCGCCGGTTGGACGTGTTCGGCTTCACACCAGGTTGGACGTCCCACGCTTTGCCACGCTTTCCGGGTGCTTTTTGGAACATGGACATTTGGATGATGGAAAAGATCTTTGCTATAGAGTGCTCCAAAGTAAAAGTATGTAAATGATTGGTGGCTGGTGAGAGGATTGTCCGCACAACTGCAGGATGGCTTGTTTGGAAAGAGGAAGCCTGATGTCCATGTGATTCCTGCAAGTCTTCTTCACCCATCCTGATGGACCTCAAACCCCACACATACATGAGCAGCTTCGATCCATCCATCTTCTCCCTGCGGGTCCCTATTCCAGGCATCGCAGTGGCTTCGGCCAGGTCACCTACCTCACAAAGTCTCTTGTTTGGTGTCATTCGCCCCCCAGTCAGCTGGGGCCCAGAGCGGAGCCCAAGTCGGAGCCGAGCCGAGCGTGGCCAGGCCTCCGTGATCCACTGCGATCTGAAGCCGGAGAACGTTCTCTTGAGCCGCTGGGGCGGACCCTTCGGACCTGGGGGCTTGCATGGAGGGAGCTTCAAGAGACGAAACTCACGGATTCTGATCCGGGTTTAGCCCTTGAACCTTGGGGAAGCTTTGCGTGGCTTCAACATGGTGGCATTGGTAGGGCTTTTCTGGGCTGGAGAACATGCTACAATTATCCAGGTTTATCAACAAGTCTGGTTGGACCCATTCTATAGGATCGGTATTACCCTCCGAGTCGATCCCTAGGTATCGAGGACTCTGTGTGCCGTAGCCTTTTGAGAAGGAGAATGTGTCAAGGTGTTGACTGGAGGGTCCCTTGCCTTCTTTTCGCTGCGAGCCGTAAAGGAGGACGGCAACCTGATCGACCGAAACCTGAATTATCAAGGCTCCATACTGGGCAGCGAGAATGAAATACTGATAAATACTGCCTATCGAGAAGGGTATTTGTCACTCTCTGCAGAGGATCGAGGTCGATATAGGTTGAATCTGAGGCAACATTCACCACACCCGGATCAAGCTCATTGATTTTGGCTCCGCCTGCTTCGAGAGCCACACAGCAACTTTGGCTGGACATTGGGGGTCCGGACTCAAGGCAAGTAAGCCACCAACGAAGCCACCTGGCGCTTACACTCTTCTCCTGGAACTCACATGGAGGATCATGGTTAGGTGGAGGAAAGCCCCCTGGATCTTGGTATATTCGGATTTCACGGTCGCTTTCGGGCCTCATATCTATATATATAACCATATTATTTCCAGGGAGTGTGGTAAGGATACTCAAGAACAGCTGGCCAACACCACTCCTTGAAGTCCAGTTTCAACTACGTTCAAATTTGTTGGGAGGGACCAAATTCCTCCATGGGACTCTTCCATCAAGAGGGGGACAAAACATGACACTAACCACCAGCACCATCCAAAGGGCGGTTAGATGCGACATAGATAGATTAGATGGGGTCTAGGGTCTATAAACCACCCGACTGGGTGGTGATATGGCATTGTTCCAAGTCCAAAGAGTCGGATCGGGCCCTTCGTTGAGCTTTCACTGGGCATAGCCAGGTGTCGGTTTCGTCATCCTCGATCCACTGGCAGCCCAAGATCCTGATTCCAATCATGTCCAATCCATGAAGTTCCAATATGTTATTTTTCGGGGTCATATTGATACAGCACTCCCCCAACAAAAACAAAGATTGACATGGTGACATACAGGTCCGTCAATTCAGTTCCGTCAATTCACAGACCTGCCTCAGGCCACAGACCTCACACACTGGCGAAACTCATTTTGCCTCACTACCTATATCACAAACCTCTTTACCCCACGCATCGCTGCGAGTCTCTCTCACGAAACCACGCCCTACACGCCGCCTTGCCGCGCAAAACGCGCCACGGGACGTGCCTCGCGCCACGCTCCACGCGGCCGTCAGCCCGAGGTCTATCCGTACATCCAATCGCGCTTTTATCGATCCCCAGAGGCCGCACGAAAAGACCGGAAGACCATGGGGTGCAACCCGCGGGCCTGGAATCCGGAAGACAGAAGACTCTCATCGATATGCATCGCGAATTGTTTAGTTTTTTTTGGAACGGGTGGAGCATGTTTCTGCAGGTATCTCCAGTTAGTTGTTTTTTTAAGGTCTATTGATTCATCCAGAGTGGTGCGGTTGAGGTGTTGAGCTTTCACGAGGTTTGCACTATTGACAGTTTGTTTGGGGGGAAAGAATGGACGACTGCAGAGGCGCACGGTTCTGAGGTGAGTTGAGTTGAGGGATAGTGCAAGTACAGGGAAGAAGAGAGTCATTAGGAAACCCTGAACAGAGTCACTCTTCCCCAAAATGCTTTTGCGGGATGTCACAAGGGGTTCCGATGATGAATTGATATTAGAGAGTTCAGAGTCTGATTGCATTGAAGGTTCTCAGTATGCTGAAGAAAACGGGAGGGGTAGGAGGGGTGGTGGGCCTTGGGGGTTGCAGGGTCTGAAGGCCTCAAGCCTTCAAAGACCACCACGTGGGTTGGTTCCTTTTGATGGGGAGGGTCTCAAATCTGGAGGTCAATATGCCAATCACACATGGAGTGTTTGACAACCAGGCAACAAACATCTGATTGATTCTGATCGCAAGTTCGCTTCGCAACGGAACGCCAGGTGCTTTTGGGAGTCCCTTACACCAGTGCCATCGACATGTGGAGTGATGGCCTGAGCTGAAGTCTTCCTGAGCTGATAGGATCTCAGAGGTTTGGAAAACAAGAATCCTTATTTGGATTTATTTGGTATGATGGTTCCTGCAAAAGGCAATCTTCCCATATCCAGCTGACCACAGGCCGCGTAGCACAGGACACATCCTTTGTCCACCCCTCCATACACCCGCCAGGGTCAGAATCTCAGCAACCCAAGCCCAAGCTGTCATAAAACTGAGTCAAACCATGTCAACCCCACTGGCTCCTTTTTCCGCTCCTTTTTCATCGGAGCGCTCCTTAAAGACCTTCGTCCAGCTCTGAAAAGCAAGACCTATAGCTCAGGTATCAGGTCTTTTGAGGAAGAGCCGCTAACATTTTGGCACCAACCCCCCACCCACCCAAGAGCAGTGTGAAACCACACAAAGATGTGCATTGTGGGAGGGGTATTAATGGCAGACTGTGTCCATGCCCAAGGCTTCCAAAGCACCCGGGTTTGAAGTGCGTTCATGTCAGCACTCATTTTCGACGGGTCCTTTCGCCAAAGCACTTGTCATGTGTCCACATGATATATTGCAGAGTTATCTCTTAGACCTCCGCGAACTGGTGAATCTCATGCTTCGCATGTTTCTCACGCTAATTGTCATCCTCATCTGTGAACATCGTATCAGAAATCTTTCAAGATGCACAGAGGGATGCCGCACACACAGCGACTTGATCCATTTCATGGAATCCTCGTCGGTGAAACAGTGTGTAAATCGACTGTTCGTCCTGGTTGCCAGGCTTGTGATCAATTGGTGATCAAAACTATGCAGTTTGGGCTTTACGAGCCACTGAATTGGAGAAAGTATTCCCCTGGCCTGTAAGTCACGTTGCTCCCTCCACAGGGCACAAACATCAAAAAATTTGGATTCCCAAACGTGCAACGAACACATGACCAAAGTTTCACAGAACCAGGCCTAGTGTGGATCCATGAAAGGCAAATATGGCCTTTGCAGAATGACTGTCCCGCGTCAAAGATGTCTTTTGCCTCCTGGCGTGACCTGAGCATTTTGTGGGCACGCGCGTCTTATGTAGAAACAATGATCTAGCACATAGAGCCTACCTAGCTAGCGCAAAGCGAGTTGCAAATATCGCCCAGATCGCTCAACCAGGCCAAACCACCTTTCGCCAGCTGACCTCATAGAGCTTGAGTCGTTGGTAGGTCGAGGAACACAATTAAAACCTATCTAGCTTGAACACTATTGACTTGTAAACTCTTAACAAACGAACCCTGGAACCCTGGACCCTGAAAGAAATGCTAGCTGTTGCAAACCAGCGGGCATGCAAGCAGACTGCAACGGAAGCTTCGGATCATTCAAATAGCTTTGCAATCCGCCGTTCTGAACCTGGTCTTTGAGCCATTTGCCAAAAATTCGCCGTGGCCCTACAACATCCAATCGCTTCTCCGCCGCGAGTTTGGACACTTCCGCAGAGTAAGCGCAAAGTACACGCCCAGTGTATGCCTTGTGTGTGAGGACCACGTTGTTGTTCTGTTTTATCACCTTATTGGCCAGTGGGGTCAGGACCCAGCACAAGACATCAGGACAAAGATGTGATTTTGGAGGAAAAACAGCCACCCCCCAAAAAAAGGAAAGGCTTGAAGTTTGAACCGTGCTCTTGCTGTGGCCTAGATGCCATGCCCAAAGTGAAACACCTTTGGCTGTGTGGAACTTTGTTCTCTTTGGACCAGGCATCAAAGTCTGCAAAGAGTCTCTTGAGGTTCTGATCCATTGGATCTGTGGGATCGCCGTACAGCCCATTCTGAATCAAATTGATCCTTCACCACACCACACAACTTAGTGCATGAATCATAGAACCATTGACCAGCAATTTTGGTCCCATCGAAAGTCCCCTGAACAAAACTAACCTACCACATCCCAAGACTGAGAAAAGTTACCTGTCGAGGTAAGGGACAAACTGCTACCATTCGCCGTTTGCATCAATCCAAGGTTGACGTTGTGCATGGTGCACATGCGGACAGTGTCTATCGAAAACCCTGGCAGACCCAACCAAGGGCAAAGCCTGTTTGGCAGTACTTCACCAGCCCAAAGCCAAGGGTCTTTGAATTCGGTTTGTGCCCAATCTGCTTCGGGCCCTAGCATCGTATACGGACAAACGTGCCCTTTGGACTGAGCTTGGCAAAAAAAGCAAACATCGGCTGATTGCCAGCCCCGCTTCTCAAATTGCCAAACGGCCTTGTGCCAAGCCAGGTCTCCACGGAGTTCTGTAATCATGAACCGGGAGCCATCTGAACACAGTTGACTCCCGTCAGGCCACTTTCCCAAAAAGGCAAAATGCAGACTCTCCACAAGTTTCCAGAACAGTGGATAAAGTGTATGAGGGCCCAAGTTGTAGCAAGATCTGAGGGAAAAAATCAAGAACCGTGATCGGCGAATGCTGGCGGGCCGGAAGAGAACAAAATTTAGATAAATCCCTATGATCTTCTCCTGTGGAGGCCCTTCATTGTACTTGGCTTCATCGCCATAGAGCCCACAAGGAATCACAGTCTCGTCACCCAGCGTCGCAAACTTGCACCCAAAGTGCCTTGACCACTTCCAGTAGAAATCAATGTGAGCACGGGGTGTCTTGGCACCTACATCCTCGTACATGTATCGCAGCACTTCGTGAGGCTTCAGGTAGGGAAAGGCCATGCTGGTTACTTTCAAAGGGTCACTTTGGTCAATGACTGGGAGTTCTATCATAGCAGGTTCCTTAGGTCGAGTGTTTGTTGAAACTCCTTCAGCTCAACACCAATTTAAAAAAAGAAGTTGAACAAGTACGTACAATATATCAAACATTGACTTGGTGCACGGGTTGGGCTCTAATGGTAAAGTCCATCGGCGCCAAAAATCTCGAGAAGCATTCCGCGTTTTGCTGCTAGCGGCCAGCTTGGACACGGTCTCGCCGACATCCCCGAGGTTCTTGAATTCCTGCACCGCGTTGCACACGTGATTAGTGTAATATGATGGGAGAAAGCTGACAAATGCACATGCATGCACAGTTATAGACTCCTTTGAACTAGCTGCAGCTGACTTCACCACTGACTGGACACTGTGAGCCTCCGAGCGTGTACACACACACGGAGACTTTCAACATAAATTGAACAAGCGGAGCGCATGCATGTGAGTGCAAGTGTGAGTGCACATGCCTGCTCAGTAACTCTGGAGATCATATCTTCCGAGAAGTCATTTTGCTCGCTGCTCGTGTCGGAATCTGCGCGTGGCGATGACACATGTTCCGAATTGAAAAAAGCTTTAATCAAGCAAGTTGTACAAGCTTGCTTGTCATAAGTGAATGAAACTGTGAATGGAATAAAACTCTAAGCTGCGTGCATGCGCATGTAACTTTTATTGTCAGACATCCATCGAATGCTTTAAAAGCTTTCATGTGCAAACTCAATCGATGCATCGATCGCTGTGCGGTTTGCCATGCTTTTGGCGCAGCAGCTCTTGACTGACTGCACCGCCTCTCAGATGCAAAACTTAGTAGCCGAGTGTGCCGTGCCCCCCCGAAGGACCAGGTGGAGTCGGAAGGAACATGGCTATATAAATTAAATCAGACGCTAGGCTGCTATGTTTGATCAATCTAGCTATATCGTGTGGTCTTTGATGGGGAAGCAGCTAAGACACACCCAGCGATCTAACTAGAATGCAAAGAACCCATCTTTGCAAAACCAAAAGGAGAACCATAGCTGAGAGGATCTAGCTCTTCCGGGCTTTTTTGGGTTTTGCCAGCTTTGCGGCTTCCTCATAGTTCTCGCCGAAGGTGGTCAGCTGCCTTGTCAGGCCATCCAAATCCTTGACCTGACACAAGACCAACAACAAAGATTCATAATTTATTTGTCGGGGTTTGGAGTACAACCATTATCAAGTTCCTTGTTTGGTGATGGTTGGGGAGGCTGAGAGCCTGGCCAAATTTTGATCCAGGGCCCTCTGCAAAGCTTCACGGGATTTCTGAATGCCGGCAACGGCAGCCTTTGCACGACCAAATATCAAGTTTAGGTTAATTAGTAGGTTCTTTTATCACGCTGCTAGCCTTGATGTCACCCGTGATAGCAGCCCGGAGGTTTTCCTGCCTTAGAGTTTTACAGCTTGACAATTTTGGTGATATTTAATATTGAAATCCCGCCATTCTCTGAGTCATGTACAAGTTGTTGGCGTTTTCCAAGGCTGTGATCGAATCCTTGATCTTGCGGCCCGCTGCGTCGATGGCCTGGACATGTCGACGAGTGAGGCAGTGGGAAACCGGTGAAAAAAACAAAGTCAAGCCTTCTTTGCTTGCTTGGTGTGTTCCTTTGCCAATTCCTTTTCATTCTTTTCTGTGTTCTCTTCTTTTTGGTCCTTTTCCTTCTTGTTTTTCTTCTCCTTTTTCTTGTTCTTATTCTTGTTCTTATTCTTGTTTTTGTTCTGGCTGTTCTTAGTCTTTTTCTTCTTGTCCTTCTTGGCACTGTCCTGTGCAACATGGAAGAACCAAAAACGCCGCTAGTGTACTTGTTAATATTATACAGTTTAAGCTGTTTGCACAAAGCGAATGGAAGTAGATCAGTGGGGAAGTCCTTCTGCTCTTTCTTTTGCTTAGACTTCTTTTCTTTGGAACGGTTTCTCTTGCCAGAACGTGAGCTCGTGTCCCCTGAATTTGACTCACTAGAAGAGGTATCGACCTGCTCAGATTCTGAATCACTCCCTTCCGCCGCGGCATACAGCTGCGATACAGTCTCTTCGTGCTCGGTAACCTCCATCTCAGTATCGAGCACTAGGTATTGAAGAAGGTCCTGCATGGTGACTCGGTGCAATATGAGTTACGCCCCCAAACTCCACGAGTGAAAACAGCACACCCGCTCCTCAGACTGAGGGGCGTCCGGGAAGTATCGAATCTCTTTCTCTGCTAGATCAGGCTCAGAACGCTTGTGCTGAACAATCGACTCAGCCCCTGCTGCAGTGAATCGTTCCACCATTTCTTTATAGAACATCCA